TTTAATTAATGTACAAGTGTTTTGATTTATTTAAAATGTTCCAGTCTAGCTTCTTTCGAGTTCAGTCGAAGCAACAAATTGTTTCTCATAACATTCTCACTGCTGTCCCAAATGTTTTAACCTTGGGCAGACAAGCTGTTCACACACCCACACACACCCACACACTTTGGATAAGTATTCACCTTATCCACATTGTAAATTGTTGCCTTCTTTAAAGTTATTAGTAATTTAAGATTAATTATTAAATTAAATGTGGTACATAAGATAAAATAAATAAAATAACTTGACTTGATCATTTTGTTCACAACATTAGACCTGTCCTCTAATCTCTACTAGAATAAGATAAGTGTGCATGTTTGGATGTTTTAACACTCCTGTAATGTACCTAATCTTGATATCTTTTTCATTACAGAGCTGGGAAAATGGTGTATTGATTAGATTCTGATCCGTGCAAGTCCAATTTTGACTGACTTTAGTTCTAATGTTAATGTTAATTTGACTTCAACCCATAAGTAATTATTTAAATTAACTCTAAATGTCACATGATGATGGATTAGTGTTCCACATTTATTCCACTAATTTGTTTTACAATTAGGCTAAAGGTAAAGAGAGACATTGATGACCTTGTGTCCCTTTTGTTAGTACGTGGTTCCATTTTGTCTATGGCCTTGGACGGCTTCACTAAAAGTCACCCAGTTCTGCCCTGCTGCAGTCCGGCTGAGTGCAGTCACAGAGATGCTATGGCTGCTCTACATGACATTAATGGTCTGGTCCGAGAATGGCCACCATTTCCTGCTCCCAGAGAGAATGACACTCCTCAAACTGAACATTACAGCCGTTGATACTGTCTCACATGGGTCTGCTCCCCCCCACTGAGCCATGAACTGAAAGCATGACATCTGCTATGAACACTTGGAAGCCTCCCTGTCACACCAGCACCAACCCTTGGGTCAGTCAGATGAGACTAACGGCTTCACTTAGGGCATTTGGTTCAGATACATGACTCTCGTTACCGCAGAGTGGGTTGTTTTTAAGGCTATTCATACTGCTATGCAGAGGATGCCTGTAAGTTGGCGAGCTGGTAAAAGCCCCTACTATTGTTTCAAATAGGCCTAATGTCAGGGGTCTCTTAATGTCTAGTTCTACATGTATTCACATTATATAGACAATGTTTCCACCTGGTAAAACTAAAGGCTGCACAAAACTCAGGCTACAATACAACCATTCTGTTCTGCTCTAACGATTCAATGTATAGATTCTACATCAAAACAATTAGCTTTTATTGTTTCCAATGATAACGTCTCCTTAAGTGGAGGAATGCAAACCTGTTTTCAAATGTAAGGTTTTGATTTTGTTTGACATTTCTCAGTAATGACACCCTCAGACACCCAATATCATTCATGCTATGCCTTCAGTAATAACTCAGATGTTAAAGGGATGAAACTTTTCCTCCCAAATCAGATATGCTTTGTTTTTCAACAAATGTATCAATTTCCTGCATAATATATGTTTATCACAATGGTTTTTGTAAGCTGCACACAGGTGATACTGAGTCTTCTCGATTAATAGATTATAAACTATACCATGTTTAAATAGACTCCTAAGTTATTATTTCATATGTAAGAAAAGGGAGGGAAGAGTCAATTATATTGAGTAATTGATTTTATATTGGGTAATTTATTTCTCAAACCTATGTTTTATGGAAGAAACTAAATATTTCTGATAAACTAATATTTTATCAAAAGGTAAATGGTGAATTAATATACATTTAGAATCATTGAGAAGGGGTTATATCCACAGGGACTAGCTCACCTTTAACTTACAATAACATTTCTCTGCTATGGACTGATGAGTATATGATTCTTGCATGTTCAATGACTAACACAAACCTTCAAAATGATAATGTGCATGTGTCAGGAAGGCTCCCAAATAATTCTGAGGGGCCTATTTTTGTAATTAAATGATAATGTGCTAATCCATTACTTTGAGTTGTCTTCACTCAGAAAAACATCCCTATCAAGTGTTAACCCAATAACTAGGACAGCTAGTGGGTCACACTCTCCGGGTGCAGAGAGCACCCCCAGCCACGTGCAAGGAAGCACGAAGTCGTTCGAGATGGGATGCTTCTCTTCACCTTTCTGATAAGAGGGGGTTCTTCTCTTCATCTTTCTGCTCGGTGGGCTCTAGCAGACAACCCTGCAGGACGAGCGAGGGTTTCAGAGGCTTCTATAATACAATGTTCCATGTGTCTTGGAGGAGTTTGATGTCTTCCTAACCTCTCCCATCACGGGGGGGACACCTGGATGCATCAGGAATACGTAGTTGTACTCAAGCAGATAGCAGAAGGAATACCGGCAGATGAGCCTCCGTCTCACTGGGGGGTCAGCTACAGTGCTCACTGAATGAGCCACACAAAAGCAGAGCAATTGGGGGGTTGAAATATGGCGCTCTGATGAAGAAGAGTTTGAGCCAATCAGCACCTCAGTGCTAATCTACAGTATCAGGATGCCTTTACACACCAGACACTCGGTGTCATAAAGGGAGGAGGAGAACGAGTCAGGAAGCCTGACGGACATGTTCTTCCAGCTCTCGTACAAAGATGAACTTTGAATTGAATGACCAGATGTTTAAAGATGTACAATTAATGATTGTTTTTTATATTTCCAATGACCAGACATGTGTTAAATAGTGGTGATAAATATATTTTGTAAAATCAGATTACACTTTCACACTAAACAAAATTAATAAATAAATATTTTCAGATTATAAAGTATTGAATAATAAGGTATTTCTAATATTATAACAGATAATGTTAATATCCTTAATCATCCAGCAATCAGGCTTAACAACACTACTCTGTAATGTATTGTCCATGCACAGACAGACCTAAAATGGTGTTTCAAGTACTGGATTAATTTCAGTTTTGGCCCAAAACAAATATTTATAATAATTGATATAACAATTATGTAGCATATTTGATCCTCAAATTAGAGAAGTATAATTTAAAGAAATTGATATTCTATATTCAACATTAGATAAACACAGAAGAACCCTTTCCAAGTACTATAGGTAGATGTTCAGGTAAGTATGGCTAATAAGAATAATTGATAGACTTAATTTGGTACAGATCAGTTGTAGCATTTACAAATGTATGAATTAAAGTTTTAAGAATGTTTAATCTTTCCTTTCCAGGTTTTTACAAAAGTCTTTGAATATTTGCCTAACTTTTCCTTTTCAGATTTTGAACAATGTACTTGACTAAAATGAATGTATTGATTTTACTAAGACTAAGTGCCTTACTCTTGGCTAAAGCGTAATTAAGTAAACGTAAAGTAATCCTAAAATTGAAGACACTGCAATTTTGCAGATTACAGATTGATTAAATCACCACTGTGAAGTTTATGCCTTAGCTGGATCTCTTATGATCCTAAGTTTTAAATGCTTTTGACTAGTGATTGCCTTAAAGCAAATCTTTAAGCTGCTGCTGGTTTTGATTTTATAGTTTGATAAATGACATTAATAATGGTTTAAATAATAAAAGATATTAGTTTAAAACAAATATTTTGCTATTATGTATCTGTGTTTTATGTGTGTTTATTATTGTACTTATTGACAAAAGATGCTCCAAACACTGATGAGAGATAATTGTTCCTATTATGATTGCCTGTATCAATCATTGTGATTGAATGTTTCAATCTTATTCTACTTTGTGATGTAATTGAATGTAAGGTGAGACCACACTCGAATCTGAAGACGCCTATTGATTTAAGTATTGACCAGAATTATTAGACTAATGTTTTAAGGTTATCAAAAATGATAAAAAGAGAGGAACTGTTAAGGAATAATTCTTCTAGATATCTAACCTTTTGCTCTGTGACGTGTTATCTCCTTTAAGGAAAGGCCTTGGTGCCATATGTGTTGTTGTCACCAGTGTGTGACCGGTCAACTTGACTGGCACGAAGGGTAATTGTTGTGGGAACACTGAGGCACTTCTTTATCGGTGTTTGTGGGCTCTAGGATGTGAAATCCTTGAGGCCATGAGTGTCGGACACAAATTCAGTGTTTAGTCTACTCCTTCAGAGATGTTGATTTCTCTCTGTGAACCAGTTAAAAGGTCTAGCATAGAGAGAGGTTCTTCAGAATTGACGTGGCAACTCTACCGTGTGGTCAGAACCTCTGACTCTTTGATTTGTGATGTGAATCCTCCGGCCGAATACTCTGAATAAACCCATCAGTGTTCGACATCAAAGCTCCAACTCTCACCGTGTCTCCTTCCTGAGTCGGTGACTCCATGCATTACTACACAGAAGTTTCCTCCACACCCGTGTTATTGTAAATTACTGTACACGTTTGAATAGTTAATTAATCTACTATAATTAGTTTGTTTAATATCGAATCATATCAATTTGTTTCAAAGCTCAATAAATAACATAGAAGACCTTTGACCGGCACTTTTCTAATTTTGTCCGGAAGATTTAAACTGTAACGGACATGTTGACCGGACAGGAGGGGGGAGAAGGAGAGGGGGTGTGGAGGGGGGAGGGGGGCAGCGCTAGACAGGGGGGAGACAGGGGGGATATCGCACCTGTACGTGATAAGGATATAACAGGCAGGTGTGATATCGCACCGGCATGTTATAACACCTCGAACAAAGGAGGTCAATAGCATAAGTAGTAGTAGGTGTGACCTGTCACTTTTTTATGCATACTAATGTGATGGAAGCGGGATCATTATTACTACTCATGTGTACTGCTGCATCTCTTTATACAAGCCCTATTGTTGACTTCTGTTCAGCTCTATCCAGGTTCATAATGACACTTTCATATGTACAGCATGTGTATTTCACCACAGGGCTCTCCAAAGTTCAGGCACATGGAGAATATACATTCTGGCTTCAAAAATCCCAACTTTGCATCAAAGGACCAAACTTGTGACAGACAGTGTCTATACTTCAGACCATCAGCTCTTAAAATCACGCATTAAAAGCTTTTTCCACCTACCATTGTAGCACGGGTCTTTGTACGATGCGTTGATTAGATTTTCTAAATCTGAAGTTTTCTCAGCTATGTCCAGGAGGACTTCCACTGTGTCATTCCTGCCATCTTTCAGGTTCAGCAGAGCCTTCAGCAGCGCCGTTTTCCCATTTGTCTCATCTGAAAGTTGCACACCAATAACCAAACGGTGACGATATTTTCTGAAATTCATATTAACACATAAATAAGTACTGTAATAATCACTCATTCGACTTTGGCAAACCACAGGTTGTTCTTTGTAGACACAGAGATTTATAGATCAAGCAACACAATTCCTATCAGGCTTTTTGGGGTTTACTATTATATTTACAAGTTATTTCATGTGCATAAGAGCTTCACTTCAACTAGCCTTTAATGCAGCATCTATCCATACTTTGCATGACTGAAATCCATTGGAGTAAACATGACCATATGGGTTGAAACTAAAATGGTTATAGATAACAGCAGGACACAGAAATAAATGCATCACATCAAAATGCTTCTTTCCTACGTGCCTGTGAATTCTGGGCTCGTGAGCTTCTTATCATGAACTCTCAGGTAGTCGAGCAGCCCGCCCAGCTGAGAGGTGTTTCCTGTGGAGGCTGCTTCAAACACTTTCTCCCTGCTGAAGGCTTTACTGTAGAAGCTGTCAATACCTGGAGTACTCTGTCTGAAATGTACAACATATTACAAGTCATTAAATCAAGGCCTAATGCAGCTCAATATTTACAACAATAAAATCAAAAATGTGAACAGTATTTTAGTATCTTTTAAAACAGTGTGTAAAAACACTTTAATTACACATTTCTTTGGGAAAGGATTTGGTTTATTTTCAAAAACCCAACATAAACAAGCTGAGCTCGTTCACCTGAAATACGCCTGCATGTAACCTGATCCTTCAGTCCCTACAGTCTGACATACTCCCAACATTAGTAAAGCTTCTCTGAGCAGCAAGTGATTTCTGTGCTGAAACCTCCTGTAGTCAGTGTGTGTCCTTTACAAATGAAGGCCATGTGTATCACCTGCGAGACACAAATCAGAGGTATATCCCAGAAGGCTTGGTTACCTAGTTATGGAGACGTTGGTGTCCATAGGAGCAGGAATCCTCTCTGAGCTGTTTGTTTTCAGGAGCCAGTCCAGACTGTTGCCCCCCCCCTCCTCCTGCTCCTCCGGGCTGGTGTTTGGCTCTGCTGTGTCCGCTGGCTGTCCATCGCTCATCTTTATGGTAATCATTTGAGTCCTGATCCTGTTTTCACTGCTATGGCTTCTTCAGGCAGCTCATCATATGAGCAGCAGCTCCACAGTGTAGTGTTTCAGAGGTCAGGGGTCGCAGTGGGGCGGGACAGAGTGTTGTTACCTGGGCGACGCTCCTCCCTCTCCCCTGAGGGCAGGGCACGCCTGTTGTTTGATGAAAACATTCCTCACAACTGAAGAAGACAATAGTACCTGCTGAACATTTATTATGCTGACTGATGATCTTTTATGAGGTATTAAATACTTGTCTAGTAACATGTTCTTAAGGCAAGCCAAGTTTATTTATATAGCATCTTTCAACACAAGGCAATTCTAAGTGCTTTTCAAAAATGATAAACATTAAGAGCATTTAGAAATAATGCAGTGGAAACACATTATAACAGGACATTTAAAAAGCAAAGAGAATCAAATAAACATAAAACAAGCTAATATAGTCTAGTTGCCAGCAGAGTGAATTCAGAAATGTTGAGTACCCCAAAGTTTTATGTTAGAAATGTATAGGTCCCCAGCACATAGAAACTGCCGGATGCTAAGTTGCACATGTTGTGCAATTTGCACAATTAGCTAAATTAACTAATTGCGTTAATTAGCATGAATGTCAGAATGGTCAGAAATGAGTCAGCATCCTCAATAACCCCCAAAATCACTCAAACATTTTCCAAATCGGCCAAGGCCAAACTATTGTCCCCATGGTAATTGATGCAAATTAACGCAATTCATATGTAGGTTAGCATCCGGCAGTTTGTATGTGCTGGAGGCCCCTACTATACATTTCTATCATAAAACATTGGGGTACTCAACATTTCCGGGTTCACAACAGGACTCTAAGGGCTGGCAACTAGACTAATATAGAATAACATAGGTATCAAATACATGAATAAAAGTGCAGTGTAAGATATGAATAGTTAAATTAAAAGCAGCGGAAAAAAGAGAAGTCTAGTTTAAAGGTAGGGTAGGTAAGTTTGAGAAACCGGCTCGAGATCGCTAGAATTTGAAAATACACAACCGGAGAAAATCTGCCACTTCCTTATAGAGCCCCTCCTCCAACACACACGAACGCGCACATGACCAATGAGGGCACGAGATAAGTTTGTGCACAGATGGAAGGCTGACAGGCAGGTAGGCCATCCAGTTATTTTAGCCGGGCCGGCTAAAATGATTGGTCGTACTTTTTACAGTACTACGGCTTCCACAGATGACATTTTTTTATGGATTTTTTGTCAAAGCACTTAAAATATTCATTGCTATCGGGATGTTAAGAGCATTCCATGGAATATAACAAAAAGTGTATCTCGAGCCGGTTTCTCAAACTTACCTACCCCACCTTTAAGTGATCAGAGTTGCAGCGGACCTGCAGGTTTCTGGTAGTTTGTTCCAGATATTTGGAGCATAATAACTGAGCGCTGCTTCTCCATGTTTAGTTCTGATTTTGGGCCTAAACCATTCAATGCTTTATAAACTAGCAGCAGTATTTTGAAATCAATTATTTGACACACAGGAAGCCAGTGTAAATACTTCAGAACAGGAGTGATGTGATCCACTTTCTTAGTGTTAGTGAGGACTCGAGCAGCAGCGTTCTGAATCAGCTGCAGCTTTCTAATAGATTTTTTAGTGAGACCTGTAAAGACACCATTACAGTAGTCCAGTCTACTGAAGATAAAAGCATGGACAAGTTTTTCCAAATCCTGCTGTGACATTATTCTTTTATTCCTCGATATATTCTTAAGGTGATAGTAGGCTGATTTAGTAATTGTTTTGGCCACACGGAAAACGAAACGAAGACGAAAACGAACCTTAGTCGTTTTCAAAAAAGTATTCCGTCCACACGAAAACGCTCAAAAACGCTGGAGACGCTGTAGTACATATGCCGGGCCTGTAAGTGGCGCTGTACTTCCGCCACAAAATACACCAAAAGCAGCGAATTAGACTGATGACGATTATTGTTATTATTATTATTATTATTATTATTATTATTATTATTATTATTATTATTATATTATATTATTATTGTTGCTGATGGTTGTGGTAGAGGAGCTGTAGATTTTGCACTAAAATCTGTATCATGGTCCGTCCGGAGCACGAACGCAACCCTGTGATCCACCATTGTTGTTGTTGTTGGCGAAACGCATCAGCAATGACACGGGTGGCGCGGGGGTGAGCAGGAGAGGTGGGGAGAGGCGGGGCTATGGCGTCATCGTTTTCAGGAAATGATCGTATAGGGCGTACACACGGAGCCGCAAGCGTTTCGTCCTCAGACCTACCCACTTTGGGAGCCGTAATCAAAGTGTATCGGATTCGGGCTCCGAATCCGCGTTTCCGTTTCGGCCTCGTGTGGACGAACCGTCTATAGCACATGTGTCAAACTCAAGGCCCGGGGGCCAAATCAGGCCCTTGGTGGATTTAATTTCGGCCCGCAGGATAATTTGTAATTACTATTAGATCTGGCCCGCCGGTATATTGCACGCACACCTTCACTCAATCCTGAGGGTTTCCTCAGCTCAGAGCCTGAGCCCAAACATTGATGAAGATGCCAAGTATCTGCTTGAACTAGCATCACAGAGCAGCACACTGAGTTTAATGGATGTTTCCTTCTGCACTTTGTTTCTTGCGACAACAGGGCATGTTTGGTTTTCTCTTTCAGGGAAATTGTTTTTTTGAAGCTGTTGTTGGCCTGTGGAAAAATGTACTCATAAGAAATGACTCTGGAAAAGCTGCAGATGGAGCCATAAGAAATGAATGCAACTGATTATGTAATGTTTAATGTTGTTTTTATAGGCAATAATTTAAGCTTTGTTAGTTCCAGGTTTAATATGTGCAATAAGTTCATTTCAATAAGTTCTGCAATAAACATTGAACCAGTCCGGCCCTCGACTAGTACCCATTTTTTTATTTTGGCCCACTGTGTATTTGAGTTTGACCCCCCTGGTCTATAGCCTGACATCGGAGTGGATGACGCCGTCATCTTCCTGCTGCAGAGGTCCCTCTCCCAGCTGGAGAAGGCTGGGGGCTCTATGAGGATCATGTTCTTTTATTTCTCCAGTGCCTTCAACACCATCCAGCCCCCGCTCCTAGGAGACAAGCTGCAGCTCTCGGGGGTGGATCACCACATCAACTCCTGGATCCTGGACTACCTCACCAACCGTCCACAGTACGTGAGGACCCGGGAGTGTCAATCAGACACCATCATCAGCAGTACGGGGGCCCCCCAGGGGACGGTGCTGGCACCGTTTCTCTTCACCCTCTACACTGCGGACTTCACCCACAACACTGCAAGCTGTCACCTGCAGAAGTTCTGACGACTCCGCCATCATTGGCCTCATCTCCAACGAGGACGACCGGGAGTACAGGGAACTGACGCAGGACTTCACCCTCTGAGGAACCACCTCCAGCTCAACGCAGGGAAGACCAAGGAGCTGGTGGTGGATTTCAGAGGGCCCCCCGACTCCAGTGAACATCCAGGGAGCGGACATAGAGATTGTGAAATCCTACAAATACCTGGGTGTTAACCTTAACCAGGGGCGTCGCCTGGACCTGAAAACATTCGGGGCTTAGCCCACAGTGGCGGCGGCCGCGGCGCTACAGTGGAATTTTTTACTGCAACACTCCCCACACAGTACACCCGCGACTGTTACAATGAAGGCTCGATAATCATCTCACCGCATATAGGCAAGGGTAAAGTGCTATTTTTTGAGTGGGGGGGGGACCTAACCTCCTCTAGGGGGGTCCGGGGGGATGCTCCCCCGGGAAGATTTTTTTTTAAATATTGAAGTTAAAAGCATCAATCTGGTGCACTTTGAGAGCAAAATGAAGAGATCTATGGATACATCTCTCAACACATATGAAACAGAACTGTAAACAGATGTACTATCTAAAGCCCCGAATGCCCAGGCCAGGCGACGCCACTGACCTTAACAATAAACTGGACTGGACAGATCACTCTGCTGCTCTCTATAAGAATAGCTAAGCTGTCATCATTGTTGGACAATGTATCCCCCCCGTCCAGGACACCCTGTCAGCACTGTGCAGCTCCTTCAGTGATAGGCTGCTGCACCGCGGTGTCTCACGGAGAGATACTGCAGGTCCTTCCTTCCTGCAGCGGTCAGACTATATAACCACCGTGGCCCGTGGTAGACCAAACGTAGAAAAGCAAACTGCAAACATGGGAACTAAATAAACTTGACTATGAAAACAAACTACAAAAGTCTCTTGGCGTGAAAAGCTGGCTCTGTTGATGGCACAAGGCAAAGGGAGACAAGGACTATATATACAAGAGGTAATGGGACACAGGTGGCAACAATCAAGGGAGGGGCTGACATTCACATGGGGTGGAAGACACACAAGGGCAGGAGAGCTCTGAAACGAGAGGGAAAGGTAAGTACCAAAATAAAACAGGAAGTGCAATGACAGGACTAGACAGGTGAACAAAGAGACTTGACTGAACATAAATCTACCATGGGCTATGAACTAAACATGAAACAAATAACATGAACCTGATTAACTAACTTAACATGACATGAATAAATCAACAGACATGACGGGATGTTACAGTATCCCCCCTCTAGGGAAGGCTCCTGACGTCCCAGGGACTTCTGGGTGATCCCGATCAAAGTCATTAATCATGGCCTGATCAACAATGAAGCTCGCTGGGATCCATGATCTCTCCTCTGGACCGTACCCATCCCAGTCCACAAGGAACTGTCTTCCTCACCCTCACTTACGAACTGCCAGCAGTCTCTTTACGGCGTAGACGGGACCTCCTTCTACCATCTGGGGAGGTGGAGGGGGCTTAGAGGCGGGCACCAGCGAGCTCTCCCTTACCGGCTTGACCTTGCAGACATGAAACGTTAGATGGACCCTTAATGACCTGGGTAGACGTAACTGCACAGACACCGGGTTTATCACTTTAGTTACCGGGAATGGACCAACAAACCTTGGAGCTAGCTTCCTTGACATGACGTGGAGGGGTAAATCCTTGGTAGCTAGCCAACTCTTTGTCCAGGCCGATGCGGTGGAGCAGGTCTCCAGCGTCGATCCACCACCTCCTTCATCCGGCTGGCACTGCGCAGGAGAGCCCGACGAGCACCGGCCCAGATCCGTGCGGAACCGAGTGACCATAGCGTGAGCTGATGGGACTGTGACCTCGGCCTCATTGGCAGGGAACAGAGGTGGCTGGAAGCTGTGCACACACTGGAACGGCGTGAGTCCTGTGGCAGAAGTGGGCAGCGTGTTGTGGGCGTACTCCACCCACATCAGGTGCTTGCTCCAGGATGCCTGGTTCTGGGAGACCAGGCAGCGCAAACAGGTCTCTAGTTCCTGGTTGATGCCCTCTGACTGGCCATTGGACTGGGGGTGATATCCTGATGAAAGACTCACGGTGGCTCCAAGTAGATGGCAGAACCCCTTCCAGAAACAGGAAATTAACTGTGGGCCCCGGTCTAACACAATGTCCCTGGCAAAAACCATGAATGCGGAAAACATGACGTAACATGACCTCTGCCGTTTCCTTGGCAGAGGGAAGCTTGGATGGTCCAATAAAATGTGTCAAGACGGTGGTGTTACCTTCTGAAATCGGTAGTCCGGTGACAAAGTCCATCTAGATGTGGGACCATGGCCGATGAGGAACAGGAAGTGGCTGCAGCAACTTAATCTGTGCTTCAGTGGAGGTCTTGTTCCTGGCACAGACAGTGCAGGCCGCCACATATTCTGCCACCTGTTTCCTCATAGCCGGCCACCAGAAACGTTGCTGGATCATGAAGTGTGTGCGTTTCAACCCAGGATGACAGGTGAGCAAAGACGTGTGAGCCCAGTGTATTACCTGTGAGCGAACGGAAACAGGGACAAACAACCTATTTCGTGGGCAACCACTAGGTGCCGGGGTCTCACCATTTGCTTGCTTCACCACTGATTCAAATTGCCATGAAACTGCTCCAACCACACGGTTAGGTGGAAGGATGCTCTCGGGCTCTTTGGCAACAGGTTCAGGATCGTACATACGTGACAATACATCAGGTTTAACATGCTGTGTGCCTGGTCTATATGACTAGGGATGGGTATCGTTAAGGTTTTAACGGTACTACTACTTTTATCGATACCGCTTATCGGTCCGGTCTTTTAACGGTACTCTTATCGGTTCTTTTGGAGACAAAAATAAGGTAAGCACATGCTTGGTAGCACATGTCTTCCGAGCGTCTTGCTTCAGAAGCGAGGCAAGAATACTTCCTAGCCTCGGAAAACAAAGAATGGAACACGCTAGCAAGTGTGCAGGTGTGCGTCATATGAGAGGCCCCGCCTCTTACATTTTCCGCCACAGATTTGGGGAAATTGGTCCGTGCGCAAAGCATTGTGGGGATTTTAAGACCGCGGAGTCTACACATGTGCAGCCTCGAAATTTCTCCAAACGAAGTACGGGCTCGGTAGAATTCCAAGTATGCTGGACATTGGAACAGTACTTCGGCGGCACTCGATGACGTAGTATGCTTGAAATAGTGGCTCTGGAGCAGCTTTACTCGAGATTGAGAAACACGCAGGGTCTCTCCTCTGCCAGGTCAGTGAGACCTCAGTCAGAGACAGGGAGATGTTTCTCTGACAGACCATTCTGCAGATGGTGCAGACAATATATATACATTACCAAAGCCACAAGTGGAAAGGTGGGAAGCATGTAAAGGACTTGGAGGTGAAACACATTTGTACTGAGGATGACACAAATACTTTACATTTCACTAAAGGAATAAGAAATATATATTTCCCATCATGAATACTGTATTTCCGTATGAAAAGCCAACCTATACTCATCGTTGTATCTATTTGACTCTGAATAACAGCACAGCAGCACAAAGCTGAATCATAATGTAATCAAATGTGTTTATCTACACTCGAAATTCAAAAGAAAGAATTAAAGAAAAAACCGTAGCTACTAGTGCTGCTAGTACATACTGCCACCTATTGGTCTACAAGGTGAACTACACATTTTGCAAACAGTTCAACAGCTCCACACAAACTGCAGCCTCTCCAACGACCATGCAGCTGAATAAAACATTGTCAACAAAATGGATCTTGACAACCTTCAGAAATGAAGGATTTTTTTCAAGACGATTAAAGACGTACTGAACGTATGGGCTTAGATTTGTCTCGTAAATATTTGTGTGAACATAAAAATAATTTGTGTGTAAATATGTGATTTGTAAATGTAAAACACCATCCACAAATGCATTTAAAAGATTTGCAAACTCACAAATAAATTTGCAAATGTAAAACGGATCGGCAAATACGCTAAATATCAATCTGGTGCACTTTGAGAGCAAAATGAAGAGATCTATGGATACATCTGTCAACACCCATATGAAACCGAACTGTAAACAGATTCACTTTTCTTTATTTTACAAATCACTCCCCTTTAAACTGTATTCTTGTTACTGTCATATATTTCATACCTGTTTTTCATTTATTCTCTTATTTTTTAATAACTACAATGATCATATCAAGGTGTTCCTCGGAAATACTTCTTTACATAAATGGTGACCAAACCGTTTGAGACCCACTGAGATAACTTAAATTAATTATCTAAACACTGACAGAGTTGTAATTAAAAATAATTGATAAAGAAAATTGATAATGTTTTATTTTTTTATTTTACATTTTAATTTTGTAATCATATCGCTACCCCCACTCGGAACCCCTGGCCTAGGGCACCAAAATGTCCCTTAACGTTTGTATGCAATTGTGCTAAATTCAACACTGGAATCAAGCAAATATTAATATGTTTGCATGACATTAGTTATTTATATTTTGCTATCACTTAATTATACGTTTAATACATTTTATTCAAGCTAAGGTACATGTGATGGTTTGCCTCCTCCAAACAGCATAATAACCAGACTGTATCATTAAAACTATAAGTACCAGTTCTAGATCCTTGACTTTAGACAAACAATTCAAAAGACAAAATCAACTAAATGTATTTAAAGACCAATCTTTATTTGAAGGTGCCTCTTAACTTGAGATATTAGTTATACAGTAATAGTATTGACAATCTAAAAAAACTGAGCAACTCAACAGTCAACTTTATATTTCTTATTGTTTAAAGCATTTATTATTTTCATTTTCCCCCTCTCACATTCAGTTTTTGATTCACTTTTGGTTCACATTTCAATAAATTGTATTTGCACTCCTTTTGTCCATTATTCTTACTGAAAATGTTAGATTACACATTTACATCTGACTGAAGATTGGCCCCATTTATTTGTGACGTTGCAAACTCTGCGGTACAAGGTACATGTTGTGAAGCTCATAAAGTGAGGCAAATAGAAATAATCAGCTGATGGAGTGTAGATGTGGAAATAGGTGCATTCGATCAGCTGACTGTGTTTTCACAATAAAAGTAGTTTCTTAGTGAATGTCCTGTACTGGTCTTAACATCTCATAACATCAGCTTTTAATTTTCCTCTTGGATGTTCTTCTTGACCCTCAGAGAAGGAGAAATGTTGAGTCGTGTCTTTCAGGCATGTCCTTTCCTAACAAAAATTACAGGAAACATAAAACATATTATTGCAGAACAAGTGTGTTATTTATGAAAGAGGTGTGTTTGTGTTTAGGGGCTGTAGATATAATTATTTTGTAATTGTAATGTTTTTTTTTATTTCAACAGTGAGCTACAAAGACAATCAGATTATGAATGAACAGTATGAAATTCATCAACATTGAAATATATTTTATTATCAAAATAATATTGAACTGTTATCAAAACTTAGTGCAACTGTAGAAGCTTGCTCTGTTGTCTCACTGAAAGAATAACTTTTACCACGTTTTTTACAGACAATATTGAGAGATAAATAGTAGTAGTTCTCACTATGTGTTAAATAGCTTTGCCTTCAATACATTAAATTAGAAAGCTGGCAGTCATATTGCTTGTTAACATCTAAATATAACCCTTTGCATGGAAAAACCCCTCAACTTCACTGATGTGTAGGTGATCTAGTATTTAGTATTGTTTAATGGAATATATATCAGTGTATTAAAGTCAATACTTCATTTATTTAAACCAATATCTTTCTTGATTCTTTGTACAGTATGAAAAAAAGAGTATTTGTACCTGTGCTCTGGTCCAGCCTGTCTGCATCACCTGGACACTTTAAACAAACAGATATATATGTAAAGTATCATGTGTACAAACAATATAACTGATTCTCTTCTGTTGAACATGTTGGATTGTGTATTGTCCGAGTCAGGGTCCTTTTTATTTTACTGTAACTTTGGAAGAACAAATGAAATGCAATGAATAAGCTTAATTTTAACTGAAGCACACATAACGTCTGATCTAATATTTTTAACAAATCATCCCTAAAGCATTGACTAGGCGATTCATAGGATCTCATGAGCAACCATCAATGACATATCCCGGAGTCTGTTTGTCAGAGTGGGATGGTTCACGTTGCACCAAACTGAAAAGAAAGCGAGCCCGTGCACTGGACTCACTGGTTCTCGTTCCTGCACAGAGATAAGAGAGCGATGGTTAGTTAAAACATGCAAACCCTCCTGTTCAAGCTGAACAGTTCGAGTTTCACCGCGGCTGCCAGCTGTGTTTACTCACATCATTCAAACAAGACGCGCTGGCTCGGGAGCTATAACTACAACAAAATGAACATATTTTACCGTGATTAAATTGTAATACACGTTTCAAAATGATGCCGAAGTAACAACATACTGATACCCAGTGGCGTCGCCTGGCCTGGGCATCCGGGGCTTTAGCCCCGGATGTTTTTTCTGTAGCCCCGGACAATTCTCCCTCAATAATATAATACATTAACCGTGCTTTACGTGAACCTCATCGTGACACGAGAGGACGGCAGCACCGTAATTTCCCGTGTTCAGTGAATGCAACAGAGGCATGACACCAGACCAATCAGAGAGTTGCATGGAAATAAACGTGTGCTCAGTGTTGCCAACTTGGCGACTTTCTCGTTAAATTCGGCGGCTTTCCAAACCCTCCGGCTACTTATTTTTGTCAAAAGCGACTAACGACTAATTCAACGACTTATAATGGTGTTATTAGGGACTTTTCTGGTGTTTGGAGACTCAAATATTGTTCAGCAGTTAACGAGCCGCGGGTGCTGCCGTGAGCCCCTCTGCCCTCCTGTCACAGTCTGCTTTCTCACTCACCTATTTTCTGCATTAACATTCCTTAGTCACCTGGTAGCCACACCCTGTCTCTCTTTCACTCTGTTACACCCATCAGCTCCAGTAGTATATAGGCCCACTTCACTCTCACCTCAGTGCCAGATCGTACTTTGCAGCATGCCAGTCTTTCCAGCATTACTTCCCAGATTGCTCTCCCGGTTCCGACCCTGCCTGTCCCTGACCTGCCTGCCTCGCCTGATTCCTGACCCTGCCTGTACCCGGACTATTCTGCCACGCCTGCTCCCTGACCCGGTCTGTACCTGCGACTCCCGTCTTGCCTTCTCCTGGAACCCTCGCCTGTCCCCGACCAGCCCTTTGCCTACTACCTGCCTTTTCGTCTCCTACCAGTTATTGCCTTCAATAAAGCTGGTTACAGACTATCCCTGGTTTCCCCGTGTTTTGCATTTTGGTCCTCAGCTCGTTTGTGACAGAACGATCTGGCCAGAAATGGACCAAGCAAACACCGGGTCTCCTAGAGACCGCTTTGAGAGGGTTGAGGAAGCCATCCAAAGACAGGAGGTCACGATAGCTACCTTAGCTACCGAGACCCACCAGGCAACCTCAACCCAGGAACAAGCGCTGGCTTACCTGGCCTCCCAGATGCAACAGATGGCCGCCACCGTACAACAGCTAGCCGCTAGCATGGCTGCTACCGTCCCTCCGCCTGCAGCTCCGATGTTCACTCCAGCCTCTGGATCGACTGGATACGCTCCGGAGCCTCGTGTGGGAACTCCGGAACGCTACGCTGGTGAGCCTGAGGGATGCAGTCCTTTTCTCACAAACTGTTCCATATTGTTTTCACTGCAGCCACACACCTTTGCCTCCGAGGCGGCTCGCGTAGCTTTCACCGTTAATCATTTGACGGGGAAAGCCCGCTTATGGGGTACTGCAGAGTGGGAGCAGCAGACTCCAGCCTGCGCCTCTTTTGCTGTTTTTTCCGCGGAGATGCGGAAGGTGTTCGGTTCCGTTCGTCTGGGTCCCGATGCTGCCGGAGGTCTGCTGAGCTTGAGCCAGGGTTCCGGCACGGTGGTGAATTACGCTATTGACTTCCGCACCAGCAGCCGCCGTAGTAGCTGGAACGAGCCGGCGCAATGTGACGCATATCTGAGAGGCTTAGCGGATTATATGAGAGATGAGCTGGTTTCCTATGATCTCCCTGCTTCCTTGGATGGGTTGATCGAGCTCACCTCTCGGATCGACAGACGAATTCAGACACGAAGAGAAGAGCAACAGACACGAGCGGCGGGCCGCCGCTCGCGACAACAACTTCCGGTTTCCGGGAGATTTCAACTTCCGGTTTCGGCGGAGAATTCCCATCCCTACTCTGACTCACGGTACGGGGAGGTCGAGCCCATGCAAGTGGGTCGTACCAGTCTTAGCTCTGAGGAGAGGGAGTTACGTCGAAGAGGGAATTTATGCCTTTACTGTGGTCAGGCTGGACATTTTGTTTCCCGTTGTCCGGGAAAAGGCAGAGCCCATCAGTAATGGGGAGTATACTGGTGGGCCGAACCTCTGAGCTGATCCCCAATGGAAGACCTTTGTGCCATGCTCGACTTCTCCTGAGAGGCACACCTCAGGCTCTGGCTGTGTTTATCGACTCCGGATCAGATGTCAGCATCATTGATGAGGAGCTCGCACTACAGCTGGGCATTCAACAGATTCAGTTGCCCCAGCCGGTACCGGCTAATGCTTTGGACGGTCACCTGCTGGGAACGGTGACTCACCAGACGACACCGGTCCATATGCTCATGTCGGGGAACCACCATGAGACAATCCAGTTTCATGTGCTACGGTCCCCCAAGATTCCTCTGATTTTGGGTTATCCATGGCTCCGCCGCCACAACCCGAACATTGACTGGTCAACTGGGTCCATCCTAGGGTGGAGTTCTTCCTGTCATCAGGTTTGCCTCAAGCAGGCCGCTGCACCTCAACTATCTGTGGATATTAACCTGGTTCCGGATGTCACAGGGGTTCCGGCGGAGTATTTGGACTTTAAGGAGGTTTTTAGCAAGACTAAGGCAACATCTCTCCCACCTCATCGGCCCTATGACTGTGCTATTGAGCTACATCCGGGCGCAGTCCCACCCAAGGGGCGGTTGTACTCACTTTCGGCACCGGAGAGGAAGTCCATGGAGACGTACGTCAATGACTCTCTGGCTGCGGGAATTATTCGTCCTTCCACGTCACCCGCAGGAGCAGGGGTTTTTTTTGTGGCGAAGAAGGATAAGACCCTGAGACCCTGCATTGACTATCGGGGTCTGAATGACGTCACGGTAAAGAATCGTTATCCCCTGCCACTCATCTCGTCAGCATTCGAGTTACTACAGGGAGCAACAATCTTTACCAAGCTGGATTTACGAAACGCATATCACCTGGTACGAATCCGTGAGGGGGATGAATGGAAGACCGCCTTCAACACCTCTTCAGGACACTACGAGTACCTGGTGATGCCATTTGGACTTACCAACGCCCCTGCAGTTTTCCAAGCGTTGGTGAACGACGTACTCCGGGACATGTTGGATCGTTATGTTTTTGTTTATTTGGACGACATTTTGATTTTTTCAAAGACCCTCAAGGAACACATCCATCACGTCCAGACAGTCCTCCAGAGACTTCTGGAGAACTCGCTGTTTGTCAAGACGGAGAAGTGCGAGTTTCACACTTCTTCGGTCGCCTTTCTTGGCTACATCGTGGGTCAAGGAAGTGTGGAGATGGATCCCTCCAAAGTTTCAGCGGTTACCTCGTGGCGGGTTCCTGATTCCCGGAAGGAGCTGCAGCGTTTCCTAGGATTCGCTAACTTTTACAGACGGTTCATCCGTGGCTACAGTACCGTGGCCGCCCCGCTCACCGCCCTGACCTCGTCTAAGGTAACGTTTAGATGGTCCCATGCAGCAGAGGAGGCTTTTCAGGACCTCAAGCGCCGGTTTACGTCGGCTCCTATCCTACAGGTACCAGACCCTGCTGGTCAGTTGGTGGTGGAGGTGGATGCTTCTGACGTAGGGGTGGGGGCCATCCTGTCACAACGCTCTGGTGAGAATCAGAAGCTCCACCCCTGTGCTTTCTTTTCGAGGAGATTGAGTCCGGCGGAGAGAAACTACGACGTGGGGAACCGGGAGCTTCTAGCAGTCAAGTTGGCGTTGGAGGAGTGGCGACACTGGCTTGAGGGGACAGAACTGCCATTTCAGGTTTGGACCGACCATAAGAACCTGGAATACATCAGGTCGGCACAAAGACTGAATTCCCGGCAAGCCAGGTGGTCGTTATTTTTCACCCGGTTTAATTTTTTCCTCTCCTACCGCCCGGGCTCCCGCAACGTGAAGGCCGACGCTTTGTCCCGGCAGTTCGGGAGGGAGGGAGACACCTGCGGTATCCCGGACACTATTCTTCCTGCTCCTCGAGTGATCGGTGTTCTCGCTTGGGAGATTGAGGAGAGGGTTAAGACTGCGTTGGTGGACCAACCCGGTCCTAGTTCTTGTCCTCTTAACCGTTTGTTTGTGCCTCAGGTTTTGAGGGCTGAGGTGCTTCAGTGGGCTCACAGCTCCAGACTTTCCTGCCACCCTGGGATTCAACGTACCAGAGGGATGGTCTTGCAGCGGTTCTGGTGGGCTACGCTGGAGGCTGACACCCGGGAGTTTGTGAACGCCTGTCCTGTGTGCAATCGGCACAAACCCTCTCACCAAGCGCCAGCTGGCCTCCTTCATCCATTACCGGTTCCACGTCGCCCATGGTCACATATTTCGTTGGACTTTGTGACTGGTCTTCCACCGTCCCACGGACATACTGCCATCTTGACGGTGGTGGATCGGTTCAGTAAAATGGCTCACTTCGTACCCCTGCCTAAGATCCCGTCAGCTAAGGAGACGGCTGAACTTATGCTTCTCCACGTTTTTCGCCTTCACGGACTGGCGACTGATGTGGTTTCCGACCGGGGGCCCCAGTTCACCCCTGTGTTTTGGAGGGAGTTTTGTGAACTGATCGGGGCGACGGTCAGTCTCACCTCCGGTTTCCATCCACAGGCCAATGGTCAGACTGAAAGGAAGAATCAGGAGATGGAGACCACTCTCCGCTGCATGGCTTCCGATCATCCTACGACCTGGTCTAAACAACTCCTGTGGGTGGAGTATGCCCACAACACACTCATCAGTTCCGCTACTGGTCTTTCCCCTTTTCAGTGTGCATACGGGTTTCAACCCCCTTTGTTCTCTGCATTGGAGAAAGAGGTTACCTGTCCGTCTGTCCAGGCCTTCATCAGACGTTGTCGGAGGACTTGGAGGCGGGCTCGAACTACTCTGCTTCAGTCTGCTAACCGG